ATTAATTTTAATAGGTCAATAAACTATCACGGGTCAAAAAGTGGCAAAACAGCTATATTTAAACCAATAATTATTGACAGTGTTGGCATTTGGCCACGGCCATTTGGCAAAAACGGCCAAAAAATTGTTACACCACATAAATTTTATAAAAAAAAACTCCCACGTTTTCTTGGTTATATTATTAATAAATAAATGAAAATAATTTCATTCCTTCTTTCATTATAATAATTAAAGAAATAATGCCTCACAAGTACATTAATTATTTACAACTATTATCTGAACATGCAGATAAGTGGCGAAAATATTGCATATGTACCTCTTGCAAAGAGAAGCTAGGTTATAATACAGCTTTATTAAACAAGATTCCTAATAAGAGTGAGAGAATTAGTGCGCATTTAAAAAAATGTTCAAATTTTAAAATTATGCATCCTGAAAAATACAATGAATTTTTTGAAACCATTAATTTAAATAGCAGAGATCTTGAACAAAGTAATGAATTTTTTATTTCATTTGTATTTGTTATAAATTATTACATGCATTTAATTTATATTAAAAATTTTCTATAGTCTCTTCATCAAATTCATCTATTTCAACCAAAGGCTCACTTGACTCTTTTGTTGTTCGTCCTATGTCAAAAAACAATGTATCAATATTTGAAATAAAGACTAGTGCCATAAATTATGATGATGGTAGTAATTGTATTTACGGCATATAAAAAGTGGTTGCAATTACCTTTGCAACCACTTTTGCAACCATACTTTTTCCTTTTTTGGATTACGGCACTAGTCTTTAATTTGAAAAACTATTAATTAGAGCTACTGTTTCTGCTGGCTGGTCTTTGCAGAGTGTAGAAAATAAGGAAGTGAATGAGTTGTTTTCTTTTATTAACCCCACAATAAAACTACCAGGTCGACGAGCTCTTGGTGGGCGTATCCTAAACAATGAAGTCAAAAGTCTTGAATTACAATTAGAAAATAAAATTAAAAATGATCCTGTTGGTGTTACTTTGTGTTTTGATGGTTGGACCAATGTAATAAACCAAAATATATTTGGTTCTGTATTTATAACTTCAGAGGGAGAGGTGCTAATATGGGAAGGAGATGACATTAGTGGTGAATTTGATAGGTGGAGAGAAGTATATAACAAAGCTGAAATAATGATTGAGAAAGTTTTTAATATGGGAGCTAATCTGATTTCTATTGTGTCTGATAGTGCACCAAGTTATGCAGCTGCTAGGTGAATATATATATTTTTTTAATAATATTTGTAATAATATTTATAGATTTTATGAGAATTTCTTTTGATGTTTAATGGCTTTATAGACATCGGCTTCGAGTTAAACATGTACAAATTACTTTTTTGCCATGTTATGCTCACCAAATGAATCTTTTTGTGGGAGAAATTTTAAAGAATCAGTTGAGTTTAAGGCAACTTCCACAGATGCAATAAAAGTTGCACTATATTTTAAATCATCACTTGATAAATATTTTATTGGAAAATTATGTTCAATACAAAAAGACACATATGGTAAATACATTCAAATTGCTATTGGTAATGATACTTGTTGGAACAGTCATTATGAATGTTTTCGTACGTTGATTAAATCAAAAGTAGCATTAAGGGTGAATGTTGTATTTATTATTTTTTAAATATGTATACAAATTATTTTAAATTGTAATTAATAATTTTTATAATAATAAAATAATAAAGACTTTAGGTTCAATGTATGAACCCCACACAGGATCATCATCATATCGTAGACCTGATGAACCATTATATCTTCCTGCTAATATATCTTCAATTTTACTAGATGAAGACTGGTGGCTTTTACTTTCAAAACTAGTATTGGTACTTAAACCATATTGTATAATATTAGACATTTTTCAGAGAGATAAAGCAAGGCTGCATGAAGTTTTGGGTGGTTTTGGATATTTTGTTGAATTTTGGAAAAAATATGATGAATCAGAGCTCAGAGAAAAAATGCTCAATCGTCTTCAGTTGAGATGGCAAAATTGGGAACAACCATTATTGCTTCTTTCATGGCTCTTACATCCTAATTACCAAATGAAAAAATTCAAAGAAAATATCCCAAATTTAAATCATGTTTATCTTAGTAAATGGTTAATATATTATTATGAGGCTTGGTCAAATATGAAGTCACAATCAATTTTACGGGAATATGAAAAATTTAGGAAAAAACAATATCCTTTTGATGAAAATACAATAAATCAATTTAATGAAGACATATTAGATTTTTGGGTGTGGGTTACTCCAACAGCAAAAGAACTTGGATATGTTGCTCAACGTGTTTTTGGGATCTGTGTTAATGCTGCATCAGTTGAAAGACTGTGGTCATGTATGGGTTCACTTCAAACAAAATGAAGAAATAGATTAGATGTAAGTAATTATAAATATGTACAATTTTTATAATTTTATTATTCTGATAAATTTTTCATTTAATATATATAGTTCAAAAAAGCTATCAATATGAGCAAATTACATGCTTCAATTAAATATCAATGTAAAGTTAATGAAGTGGAAGCTATTCGTAAACAAAAATCAACAGAAAACATTGCTGGTCCAATAGATTTAGAAATAAGTGAAGAAAGTTCCACAGATATCCAAGAATTAAATAATAACAGTGAAGACAATTTAGAAGAGGAAGAAGAAACAAATGATGTATCTGATTGGAATAGATTAGTTAGTGAATGGGAAAATTTGTTACTTCGAGAAGAGGTGGATGATTTACTTTCCACAGATAGTGATGGTGATGAATTTGAAATAAATGAGTTATTATTGAATCAAACTCATCCTGCATTAGACAATGTAGCAAAATGGCAAATAACTGATATTTTTGTTGAAAATTTAGAAATACCATTTTTTATTGAAGATTAATATTGTATTAAGAAAATTTTTTAAATAAAATATAATCATATATACACAAAAGAAAAATGTCACGTGTTTATAGATTTTTGGCCAAAACGGCCACAGCCAAAAACGGCCAAACGGCCAAATGCCAACACTGATTATTGAGGTGTGTAAAGTTGGTGTCTGATCTAAGAAATTGCAATTTGGGATGTTTCAACCTAGGCCACAACTAATTGCAGAATTTCAAATCAGTTGCAGACACTAACTTTAGAGGCATGGTTAGATTTGAATGTTAAATCTGTACATCCATTTTTTGGTAACTTTATGATTATAATTTGAAACTATTGACTATTTTTTGGTAGGCTTGTAAAGCAGTTAA